ATTTTCCTTCATCCCACAGCCCTGAAATAGGCTGTGGTGATCCATGCAACCAATAACCAATCGTGTTCTAAACTCACACTCAGCGCATTAACCTGGCTGTAGGCCAATCGGCGTCCGCTGATGCCACAAACTACGCTAACGTACGCCAGACACGATACTTCGATGATCATATTTTTCATGAGCAGAAAACAGTCAATGAGATAGCGAGGTTTGGGTGACGTTTCTGCATGTCTGGATGACCTTCGAATAGTCTGTACATGTTCGTGGGCGTCAAGTTCAGAAACAAAACGATATTAAGTCTTAAAAAGGGCATGGCTGTGAAATGCATTAAATCACTTCAAAATTGTTATCCCAGTTCAAAACCTCATACAAATGTGGAACATTCCCTTGAACGGAAATCAAGTGCTAACATACCATTGTTTTGGTACATCTCGAAATGATTCGTGTCTGGTTTGACATCATCACAAGATGTCCTCTGATTTGCAGATTTCAGCCCCCCCCCCCCCACCCCCACCGCACCCCCCGCCCGTTGTCCATGAGTGCAAAAACCTTAACTTCACAATCGGCGGCAAGAGCATATCGAGATATTCATTTTACATATGAGCACCCACATCGCGGTGTGATGGATGCATAAAGCATGGGGCTGAAAATGAAAATATTTCCGTTACGAATTCCGGCAGAACTGTGCAATTCAGGCCAAGTCAACATGTTCTACCCAGAGCAACTACCGCCATCGTCATTTAAGAGCATCCTAGCCGCGTCCCGCGCGTATTATGCTTCGACCGTCGTGGCACACCGGATATGAAAACAGGCGTAGATCAGGTTAATCTGTGGTCGCAAAGACACGCGATCAGTGCGAGGGATCAAGAAAAGAGCGAGGAATCGTACTTTCACGAATATGTGTCCTCGTGCGCGGCTAGTGACGCGCACACGCCAAGGCAAACCTCCGCTCCGCCGAATGTATTGCGTTTTTGTGATTAACGTCAGATCTGGCTGGCAACTAGAGCGAATAAAAACTCAATACAATTTTATATGTTGCTCTGTACACCCATGCATAACTTACGCTCACGCTTCCGCACACGCACACGCACGCACGCGCGCATGCACGCATATGATATGTGTATATATATATATATATATATATATATATATATATATATATATATATATATATATGTGTGTGTGTGTGTGTGTGTGTGTGTGTGTGTGTGTGTGTGTGTGTGTGTGTGTGTGTGTGTGTGTGTGTGTGTGTGTGTGTGTGTGTGTGTGTGTGTGTGTGTGTGTGTGTGTGTGTGTGTGTGTGTGCGTGTGCGTGTGCGTGAGCGTGTGTGTGCGTGTGCGTGTGCGTGTGTGTGTGTGTGTGTGTGTGTGTACACATTTGCTTCACAACTAAACTAAAATCAGCCAAAAATCATCGAAATATTTATTTTCAAAATGCAACACACTTGATAGCCACCAACGAGCACCTAAATCTTTCTCAAGGGCGAAAATTTTGAAATATTCTTGACGCAAAAACAAGGACGGGCGACTTTTTACACAACACGAAACTTTTCGAGATGTGAACGATCCCTTTCGCCACTGTGCATTCTTGGTTTCTGGTCTGCCATAGCCAATCATTTCACCCTCTTTTGCCCACTTTTGCCCACGTTTTCAACCGTCCAGTGAATTTCGCCTCCTGGAAGGACCCACATTATGCGAAATTTTCGTTGAAAGAGTGGATGGTAGCGTAACATACGGTATGTAGCAACAGGATCAGATATCATCGTAAATTAGAAGCTAAGAAATATCAACAATCAGTCACTAGAGTCCCTGCTGTTGGTACTCAGCTTCATTTGGGAATCCGATCTGTTTCCGGATCAGTAGAGGGAGGTAACAGTCGTACCTGTTTAAAGGCGGCCAGATATGGTACGGACGCCCTGCATTACCGACTCACCTCACTGAGTCTTGTGTTTGTGAGCTGTTTGGAAAGATTATCAGTGCGCGACTTATGTGTTTTTAGAGATGCGCAATGCACTTTGATGGTTCCGAACTCAGTCAGTTTACACCTCCACCGGTTGCCTTATGTCCTATTTCATTGTTTTTAAGAGAAGTGATCTCATTTGTGTCCAGGGGTTTCCGCACTAATCTTTTTTACGTATTTATTCTCCTTTAGTCATATTTTGAAAAAGCAACAAATAACTTAGAAATATACATTGTATGTTGTTTGGCAGTTAATAAATCACATAATTCACGCAGCCCTGCGCACCGTTTGTTACATTGACAAAATGCTATCGTTATCCAATCCTTTTTATTGTAACTGAATTGATGGCGATGACGCTGTCCAACAAAAAAACAAAATAAAACAAAACAGCATTCAACTGACAAACGAACGACGCCGTCTTAGCCCGCGCCCGGCCGGGGATAGATTTTCTCAGCCCCCTTAGGTTTTACGAGGAACGCTCGCAGGATTAAAATTGCAAAGCCTGTTAGCCTATAAAATGGGCATCCTTTGCGCAAATTTAAAGCCTTGATCGGCCAAGGTTAGTGATCCAGATAAGGTCAAAAAGGACAACCTCTAAAACATTGTGACGGCGCATAACGCATTTATGGGTATTTGCCATTCCTCAAACATGTTTTAGAAATAAAGCAGAAAATACCTACAGCCTATTGAATCAAAATTTTTGAAACAGACAAGGTCAGTGACCTGAGCTCAGGTCAAGTCTCGTTATGGTGTCGTAAATTACGCAAATGTGTACGTATTGTTGTGTATTTTTTTTGTCTGAATACGAGGAAAATAGGTCTAACTCACATGTACAGCCATCATGTGACCACAAAGAACATGATGCTAGCCCAAGTCAAGATCTACCTTTGAAGGTGTCTTCTGCGATACACAGCCTCAGCTCAAAAAAGGCAGTTTGCTGGGGTAATTTTGGGCGCAGAATTCGAATACTTAGCCGCAAAAATGTTAATGATATTTTTCAAATGCACAATGAGGTCACGATAGGTCACATTGGACATACAAGGTTACATGAGATCACCCAAGGTCAGTGATCTCTGCTCTCTGCAGCGTGTATGCAAACGCCATTTGAGGTCTCTAATTTTTTCACTAATTTGTGGAAGAGCTTCTAAAGTAAATCGTAAAAATACATGCTGTCATGATCATCTATCACAACATCCTGTACACAATATTTGAGGACCAGATTATGCCGGCGACGGGCGGCCGGGCGGCAGATCGCCCGAAGCCTTGGCCGTGCTTCTGGGCTAGTGCAAGATAACTCGGGACGTTGGGCGAGCGCGCAGAGCGTGCGCCGCTGAAAAGCATTGCACTGGTCACTTAGACCCGGTAAGTACTTTAATTTTCGCATTTTCATGTTTATAACTTTGAACCAAGTCGACCTTAACTGACCACTAGGTCAGCCTTAAATGTCGTTTTCGTGTTTTGGATACTTAAGTCCCACAGGTGCACCTAACAAAACACTAAGCCAGAAGCTCACCGTGAAAAATATATTTCTTGTAGGCTACTCCAGGGCCAATTTCGAACGGTGACCTGACCTGATCAAACCTTCTGGGGCGAATGAAAAGAATCAAAGGGAGGTGATAAGTGAAATCAAGCAGGCCTAAAAACAAGCTTAGCAATCGCCCTGATTTGCCATTTTTCATAACTTGAACTGATATGTGGGAAGGAGGTGGGTCAATGCCTTTCTGCTGTTTTGGAACTAGGACAGATAGAGCCCTCAGAAACAAACAGTAGATTGGTCTCAACGAGATCTTGCGATTGGGAATCTTTTTTTGCAAGCACAGTTATTGGCAAAACACTTTATAATCGGCAGTGGTCCTCCTGCAGGTGTCTTACGTGAGGGATAGATAGGAGAGGAGAGGTAGATATGACTGGTTTGGGTGTATCTCAACACAGAGGAACATATGCATGCTCCTGGCCTTCTTTTGCCAACCTCTTGCCTTTCTGGGTGCTGCTCTTTAGCCGCGATGTTCCAAGTGTTCGTCAAACGAAAGCGTAAATGTGTTGAAATTTGTGAACTTAGCTCCCTGCGTTTAGCCGGGTAGCATTGCACGCATAAAATTTTCGTAATTTTCAGCTTTTATCAGACGCGAACATCCCTGTGCTAACACAAGACAAGGCAACTAACAAGGTTACGACTAACACAGGATTGCCCGGTATATACATACATGACAGTTATAGGGTAGGAGTAAGAAAGCCTCTGTGCATCCCATATGTGAATGCGTCTGTACAGCTTGAATGTGCAGATGCGCGTTTGTCATTCCTTGTCTTTTGAAATCCGTTGCGTTTGCCACACACCAAACTAAACGACAACCGCAAACTGCACAAACGCATGTTGCATGACCGCATTGACGTGAAATCATAGCTCACATTTGCGATACATTTTCAGAATCGTCTTTATCCCATTCATTTGTCAGTTTACACCAGACTTGGTTACCGATTGTAAGACTGCTTCGACGCTTATCTGTCGCTAATGTACACAGATGTGCATTCGCGAGTTATTCCAGCCTCAAAACAGCATTTTGCACAACATTCTTTGCAAACAGCACCTTGAACGCGAATTTTTTTCTATTTTCAATACATTACTCGATAATGTCGGTGTTCCTCATGGACTTCAAGCTCACAACCGCGTCAACCGCAAAATGAAAGCAAAGCAAAGTGGGTTGAAATGGTCACGGTACTCAGATCATCAAGGGGTCCGCACCACCCAAACATAAATCCGCTCAGAGTACCGCACCTGAAGAGAGGCACGCCTATTGGCAGGCACGTGGTCTACGTCGGGAGTGTTGAATTATGTGCGGGTGTGCCTCCCGTCAACGACAGGCCCTCATGAACGGTTCCCATGCCCAATCACACCCGTGGGTCAATCTCCACAGGGCGTCAACGGCCGGCAGAGCGGAAACGCTCCCAGAGGCCAGCAGACTGGCGGCAGCAGGTGCCACGCGCGGTGCCGCTCCACACATTGGGAGCTGTGGCGGCCGCCTGGCCGAGCCAGAACCAGTGAATGGAGCTCACCACCGAGACGGACGAGGGGCGGCCGGCCAAGGAACCGGCGTCGCCGCACTTCAAGGGCGACTTCGACGAGCTCATCGACCTGGTCGGTTCGTTCGGTCGCTTCCAGTGGCGACTGTTCTTGCTGATGCAACCGCCGTTCATGTTCCTGGCGTTCAGCTACTTCAGTCAGATCTGGCTGGTGCTGGAGCCGGACCACTGGTGTCGCGTGCCGACGCTGCAGGCACGCGGCTGGAGCGATCTGGCCGCCAGGAACCTGACAGCGCCGCTGGAGCAGCGCGGTGGGCTGATGCGCCACTCGCGCTGCCATATGTACGACGTCAACTTCACCGATGTCGACCCGGCCTCCTGGGCACCCGACAATGAGACAGCGGTCGTGCCCTGTCGCCACGGCTGGAGCTACGACTTCTCCGAGATCTACCCCACCATCGTATCCGACAACGACTGGGTGTGCGACAGCACCTGGAAGCCAACGCTGGCGTCCACATTGTTCTTCGTCGGGTCCATGGTGGGAACCGTCGTCTTCAGCTACGTTGCCGACAAGTTCGGCCGGCTGCCTTCGCTGGTGCTAGCCAACCTCACCTGCTGCGTGGCCGGCTTCGCCACGGCCTTCTCTACTTCGTTGTCCATGTTCGCGGTGCTGCGTTTCATCGTCGGCATGGGCAACAACCTGCAGTGTACGCAGGCTATCGTTCTGCTGTCCGAGTTCGTCGGCCCGCGCTACCGCGCCATGGTGGTGAACCTGCCGCTGGCCACGTCCTTGTGCGGCGCCATGGTAGTGCTGCCGTGGCTGGCCAGGCTGTTGTACCATTGGACCTACTTGGCGATGGCCTCGTCGCTGCCAATGTCGTTCGTGCTGCTGTACTACGTCCTGCGCGTACCAGAGTCGTGTCGCTGGCTGCAGCACGTAGGTCAGATCGAGCGCGCCGTCCAAGAGATGCGCGAAATCGCGTTGGAAAACGGCAAGCAGGTTCCGGACGACACGTGGAAGAGCTTCACTGTGGCAGCCAAGCGGCGTCACGAGGAGGAGCTGACTCAGCGCCATCCAACGCTGCTGGACATGCTGCGTCTGCCTCGCCTGCGCAACCGCCTGCTGACACTGACTATCGGCACAATGGTGGTGCTGTTGCAGTTTGACCTGATCGCGCGCACCACCGAGCTGGACGTGGATGTGTATACGGCGCAGTCGGTGCTGGGACTGACCGAGGCGCCGGCCGACCTGCTGACCTGGCTGCTGCTGGAGACGCTCGGCCGCCGCTGGACCATGTCGGGCTCGCTGCTGGCCACCAGCGGCCTGGCGCTGACGCTCGCCGTTCTATTGCGCCGTGGAGGCCTCGCTGTCGCCTCTACCTGCGTCGCCTTCTTATGCCGCTGCGGCGCCACCGTCGCCTACAACGCGATCGTGCAGCAGCAGATGGAGCTGCTGCCGACGGTGGTGCGCGGCCGCGCGGTTGGTGCCGCGCTCGTGGCCGGACATTTCAGCGCCGCGTTCAGCCCGGCCGTGCTGCAGCTGGCGCGGCTGGACCGTGGTCTGCCCTCGTTCGTGCTCGCCGCCGTCACGCTGCTAGGCGCCGGCGTGCTCAGCACGCTGCCCGAGACGATGAACCGACCGCTGCCCGACACGCTGGAGCAGGGCGAGCGCTTCGGTAGCGAGCAGCGCTACTGGCAGTGCTTCTGGCACAACCCCTGGCGCCGCCGACCCGCCGAGAGCGACCGCAAGGGCCTCGAAAACCCTGCACTGGAGGCGGATGAGCAACAGAGGACCGAAAGTGCCGACATGTGACGTTTAGGCGTACAGCGGTCCTCGGGGCATGGGCTGGAATGACAAAGCATCCGTGCTGAAGCAATGCGCAGTGCTTCGAAAGTGTTTCCTTCTTCCAATGGTCGGTGGCATTTCACAATAACGAATATACAGATAAAAGCTATGACATGCCTGAGAAACGTAGTCCCGTAGGTGATAGTTTACTGCTCATGCCAGCGCGGGCGTTCATGCCTCATAGGCTTGGAGGTAGCCTGGACGCATATGTCCGATGCCACGCATGTTTAACAATGGCATACTTGGGGATGTAATGGCATACTTGGGAATATGAAATGGCCTACTTGGGGATGCAAAATGACCTACTTCGGGATCTAAAATAAGAACATATGACAACGAGGGGTTAATCTGGAGCATGGAAAGTCAACTAACGATACGTTCGCCAGCTGACATTTTGGAAGTCAAAGTGTTAAATTAGTTTTCAATAGACCTCTACGGACTTCATAGGCTACTTGCCACCATTCGCACTCTCATTCACGGGTGTTACTCTTTCCCCTTGTCTGTTGGTTAATTGAAACAGTTGTCGTCCCGCCCAGGAACGCTGTGATTTCAGACCTGTGGCCCGCGTTATCTGGTGAGCTCTTTCGCCTCTAGCAGAAAAGCATACCATGAAATTAGCACGCCCATGCATCACGCAATTTCTACACCCGTGGCCAAAAACTCTATTGTTTCAGAG